TTATTGTACTAGATAGATTCCTTTTATTTGTAAGGTGAAAGTAGCTTTTGTGCCCATAGCCTGTGCTCTGGGCATGGGAGGGGAATGGGCTGTATCTGCTGCAAGGTCACCCCAGGGTCTGCCCCGGACAACCTGAGGAAAGCATGATGCTGGTTCTGCCTGGTGACAGTTACAGTACCTGTGTGTGTGGGAAATGTACTGGCTGCATGAAAACCCTTTCGCTGTGTATCGTTGTCATCCTTACAAGAAAAAGCTAATGTTTTCAGTGTTGTTTCAGTGTGTTGTCTCACTGTTCTGGTGCGCACTCAGAGAAGAGTTTCTAATTCAGCCTCTCACCTTTGTCAGGCACTTCTCGGGTAAATAGCAGCAGAAAGTCATGCAAAAAGCTAATCCTGACTCTTCCTGCATCTTTTCATGGAACGAGATGTGGCATTTGCCATCCATCTCAGCAAGCTTCTCTGGAACAAGTCCCTCTGGAACTTGCCCCTCTGCTCATCGTCTGCTGAGTTAGCACTGAACAAAGATGCTGGGCCATGTCATGCCACAGCGGTGTGTCTGTTCTCACTGGAAAAGCCTCCAGAGACACTAATCTGGGAGCCAGTGGGAGCAACATTTGCCAGTGCAGAGGCCCAAGGCTGGCATCATGTCCCTGTGGTACCACTGTTTTGCTGCTTCTTCCCCTTCACAGGATTGTTTGCCAGGTTGCCGACAGCACGGGTGAAGCCTCCAGCTGCACCCAAGTGCTGAATGGTGAGGCTGTTACCCCACAGGGTGACATGTACAAGGCTGGAAGTGGGGTCAGGGGATGGAGGGGAGAGTGGGGCTCCTTCCCCTACGCCTGCAGCTTTTCCCTTTGTAGCACCAGAGCCACCTCGCTGTTTCCGCTCTGCCCCAGCAGATGATTGCCATGCACTGGGTCTCAAGGAGTCACATCAGAAAGCAGCTGCAGCTAAGTAAGTTAATGTGTTACACCTCAGCTTCCATCAATGCAACCTCCTTGCACTGGACCTGGATGCACATCACTGTTTTAGCATCACTGCTGACGCTGGACAGTCAGAGGTGGTCCATGGCCAGTCACCTCTGTTGTGTAAACTAACATATAGGAAATGATCTTGCGCGTCTAGCATCTTAACCGAGAGGGATAAATAAGGTTTCTTTGTTTCTTAGCTGCTGCAGATTGCTTCGGTGTTCCAGAGTTTTGGCTACGATTTATTATATTTCATCCTACCTGCCCTCTTTGGGTGCAGGAGATTTTGCCCACTCAGCCTTTTGGGTGCAGTCGTTCTTGGATTTTTTTTTTTGCTTGAAAGGAGCTCAGAAGGGAAGGGAGAAAGCATGATTTCTGCAGCCCCAAAGGGTTATTTCTTTCATCACTAAGGATGCTGCGTGACTTTATTGCCTTTCTGAGCTCTTTAACACAGTAATAAACGAGCCGTTAAAATATTTTAAAATCAATAAATGTAATAAAGAACCAAGCAAATTACAAAGCCGCTCCTGATGTTTAGTGATTTAGGAAATAATCATGTCCTCAAGCGAGCAGTGAGTGGGGTGGGGAGGTGGCAGGGTGACCTTGCAAGGACTGCTGCACCAGGGGCCAGAGGAGGCAGAGCCTGTCCCAGGGCTAAAGGAGGCTGTGGGGTGCCAGGGGTGCAGGCTGAGCTGGGTGGAGGTCTGAACAGGCTGGGAACTCTGCCTTATCACCTCTTGCCCTTCCAGGCTACTGCCAAGTTTGATCTGGGAGTTCCCTTTGCCTGGAGCATGGGTTTAATTTCCAGCTCAGCCTCCTAAGCAGATTGCGGCTTTACTCAAATCTAGCAGTGTGCCTAAGCGAAAGGTGACCTCCAGGGCTGGGCTGGATAGGAGGGGACTGGCGGGTGCTGTGGGGTCCCAGCAGGCTAGGCATTTCTTGCTTGCTGCTATTCCACCTTGCTGGGCATGTGGGATGGAGCTGGGGTGGGAATGGGGAGTGGTGGCAGCCAGGGCTGGAGTCACAGCCCTTCCCTCCACTGTATTCACAGGTTCACATGTCTAAATGACTTCTCAGCAGCTGTCCTCCCTGGAGAACTGCTTCCTTGAAAGATGATACTGCTCTTGTAATTAAGGTAATTGTTTAAATTCATTCCCTTAAACTGGACCCTATCATAACTTAACCAACTGTATCTACACAAGCATGGGGGGTTTGGAGAGGGTCAGGGCGGGTGTCAGGAGATTGATTCTGCACCCAGGAAGATTTGTAGGTAAAAATCTTGTTAAGCTGAAATACCTAATAGAGATGCAGGGAAATATTGCATACAGGGCATAACCCAGGCAGGTAGGTGCCCCAGCCCACTGCTGCCTCTTGTGCTGCGGGGATGACTGATGGGCTGAATGTCACCCCTGCAGCCAGGCATTTGCTGGTGGCAGAAAGAAGTGTTCCAAGCTTCCTCCCCCAGCCCAAATACCAAGTAGGACTGCACACATTTTGGCTCTTTTGGGATATTTAATTTTCTTTCTCACTTACCCTGAATGCTTTCCGATTTCATGGAAATCTGTAGGTAATTGGATATAATTGTTTAAAGAATTGAGTTAGTTAAGTTATAGGGTAATGCTTGAAGTGAAATTACAATTTGTGGGTGTTTATTAATACTGGTGGTAGATGGAGAGCAGTGACAGAGCGCTGTGTGCCATTCCGCCCTGTGTGGAGCTGCAGGGTTGGGTATGCTGGGGAGGGACGATGGCATGAGGATCTGGCATGGTCCTGTGTGAGTGACAACCCTGTGGGGTGCTTGTCCTTCTCCAGGAGCCCAGGCCATGCCTAGATTTATCCTCTGCCTGAAACAGCCTCTCTTTTGCGGAGCCCAAGGTCTGGAAATGAGCCATTTGACATCACAGTAGATGTAAATACTTTGAACTGTTCACCTGGTGCTATTTCATCCTCCCTTGCTTTTGGCCATATAAGTTAAGCTGCCCCCAGACCAGCTGTATGTTTTAAACCAACATTCAAGACTCTTAATTTAAACTTTTAATTCAAGGCTGTCAAATAAGCTGTGCAAACAGCATGGTCCAAGGGACTCTGCAGTCCTTAACTGAGCAAAACTTACTCCCAGACCTGCAAAATTACGCACGGTGTTAACACGAACAGTGACAAAAAAGAAACGCTTCCAGTCCCTTCCCCAACAGTTTGCTCCTTGTTGCATTGTATTAATATCATACTTTTTGTTAGAGGCCACAGCTAATGCTGCTGTGATGTGGTGTTGTTTTGCCAGCCCTCCCATGCTAGATGACATTGGTAACATGGTGTGACACAACCAGCAGTGCTGAGTGTGACAGACCACAGCAGTGCATCCACTGGGGCAGTGTAAAATGACAGGGATGGCTAAGGCTCCTGCTCAGAATACTCTAAGTAGATTAAAGGAGAAGAGAGGCTTTTTCAAAGTTTCTGTCATGGTTTTTCTTAATCACTGATACTTTTCCCCATTTATCGTATTAGGGAACTTAAATCAGGAATTTGCATGGTGCTCCAGTTCCTTACTGTGGTATGGGAATCCATGAGTGCTGGTCCACTGACCTTGAGTTTATCAAAACAAAAAGAGAAGAGGGAAAGAACGGCATGATGGGTCTTTGCTGGGATGAAGGCTGGGCTGAGGAATGCTTGTGTACTCCCTTACCCAACGTGCTTGTGAAAACCATGGTTGTTCCAATTCTGTGCTGATAATACATTTTTTTTCACACCCACAATGTCTGTTAAGATTATAGTAAAGCAAACAAAAAGGAAAGGAAAAAGATGCCGCCTTGTTTCTCCTGGATTTAGCAAACTTCAATTATTTTCCTTTTGTTAAATGTACAAAGTCTTTCTCTAGCCATGAATATAAGAAAGAAATGAGCACCCCAACCATTCTTCTGACCATATTGCGTTTCAGGGGACTGGTGGTGTAAACTTGAGCATCCCACCTTGCTTACAGTCACAGGTGCTTGCTCTCCTTCCTGGTGCTGAGGAAGGGCACCAGCAAAACCTCAGCTTTTATTGGTACAAATGGCCCAGATCTGGTGTTTCTTGCTTTTCCTCTTCCTCAGTAAATAGAACAGGCTGAATGCTCATCTCAGCTTCTGTGATGACAAATTGAATGTAACTCCCCTAAAACCTGTAAAACCAGGCTAGCACAAAATCAGTGTGGAGGAACCACAGACCTAGCAAAACCAGTAACTGTGGCTGCAGGCCTATCTGATGAGGTATTCATGGGACTGGAAAGAAAGAGAGGTGAGGAGCACATTTTGGCTTCTGATAAATACTGAAAAGCAGTGTATGTGAGCATGTGAAGTGGACAGCGGGGAGCTGTGCAACACTGGCAAGCAATTGCGACAAACCCTTTGCTGGGATAATTTGATCTAGCACAGTCAATGGAGCATGGCGAGATTATGATGATCATTATTTATTATATGTATTACACTTTTTTTGTGTTTTTTTGTTTTGAGGGTAAGAGCTGCTAGTGCTGTTCTAAATAACAGAAGAGCTGGTGCCTTCTTTCTGTGATGAGTGACTGGAAATGCAGTGAAAAGCTGCTCCCACATCCTGCCCAAATGCCATGGTGTAACTGCAATAACTGATATTTCTGCATATTATGGATATCATTGCCTGGCCATTCCTGTAAAATTATCCAACGCAGCAGACTCTGTGTGTTTGTGTACAGGTGTGTGCACACACACTTAGTGTTGCTGGCAAAAATATCCCAAGTGCTATTCCCCAAATTTCCATGTAAATGATCCAAAATTAAGTGACTGGTCTTTCCCACCCATGGCATCATGTAAGCTCAGCATCTGGCCGGGCTGCTGCAGGAGCGGGACAAAGGGCTGATGCTACAGTCTGGTTTCCATGGCAACAGAGGAGGGGTAGCGAAACCAGAAATGTTGCAAACACCCCTTTTTCTCATTGCAACCCAATGCACGGTATTGCGAAAGATGCTGCTTTTGGGGAGGGGGGGCTGTGGGTGGGAGGGAAGAGTCCAAATGCCTTTACCTTTCAACTTGTGGAGTTCCTGAAATAAACAGAAATGGCAATTTTTCTTCTTGGTGTAGCTGTGAAGAGAAAGGAAACCCGGCGCGCAGGCCTCATTTTCTGCGTGTAAAATGTGTGTGTTCTTTAAAAGGCAGTGGTTGGCTGCTTTCCGGACATGATGTGGTTGAAGCTGTCATCGTAATGGAAATTCATTGCTGTAGCTATGGTAAATCGAGTTTTCTGCCTGTGCTGAATGCATTAGTCTAATGAGATGTTTGCAGCTGGAGAGCTGAGCTGCTGGAGACTTGCACTGTGCTAAGAGACAGGGAGAAGATGGCTTTTGCCAGGGTCTGTGTGACTGTGCTGAAAGTCCTCTTCCCTTTGGGTCCCAATGCCCGGGCTCTCTAAAGACACTGCTCAGTGTTTTAACCTAAGCAATAGGTAAGGGGAAAGCATGCTTCTTCTTCTCTGCCTGATGTTTGTCATTGAACCTTGTTGGAGCAGTTCTCATTCTGTGTATGGTATGAGTATGCTAACTTTGCAGCTCCTCTGTTGGAGACCCTCTTCACCAAAGCACACCTTTCCTTACCCCTGGGAGCAGTTTGTGTGAGGAGAGGGGCAGCAGATCAGTGTGCGCTGCCTGCACGGCAGTGGGAGTGTGTGTGTGTGTATGTGTGCATCAGTTGATGAAGACTTCTGACTACAGAGCACTTTGCATGCAGAGCGGCTTCGGGCTTTTTCAAATCTGAGTCTAAGCAGGGATATTTTTGCTGCCAGGTAAATGCATCTTCCATTTTACAAGCAAGCTATTTCACAATATTTTTAGCAAGCAGTATCAGAGATTTTGAGTTTTGGATAGCTCATAGAGCAATGAGTTCAATTATAATATTATCTTTAAAACAGATGCTAAATTGAATTTTTATCCTTATCTGAAAACTGAAAGAAGAGATACTGTTTAAATGTTGTGTTTTTCCTTCAAGACTAACAGCAGCTAGCTTATGAGAGATGCCAAGGAGCATACTTTAGCAGAGTTGTTTCTCTTTTCAGGTGTCTTAAAGGTAACTTTGAGAGAAGACAGAGCACAGGGATGAAATGCGTGCAGGTGCCTGGCTAGCCCAGCCGGTCCCTCCCTAACTCCCCAAGCCTCCGACGCCACCCCAGCCCACCGCTCGCTGACAGAGGGTGAAGCCCGGCGTGGTTCAGTGAGTAATTCAGCCTTTGACATCTGGGCACCGTTTCCCTTTCCATAGCTGGTGAATGGCTCTGAGCACTGGTTTCTTTGCCTCGGGTTTGTCTAATGGCAGTGGTCTGGAGAAAGAAGTTGCTTTTGGTTTTGGTGCATGTGAGGCTTCTGGAGGAATATAAAGTTAATCTGGCAAGCAGAAGAAGCAAAGTTGTTTGAATTCTCTGCTTGGAGGGGGATTGCTGTTTAATCCTTGGTTTATTTCAAGAGGCTTCTGAAGACATTTTCCTCAAGGTTAGACCAAGAGCTTTTCAGATTGAATAAAGGCACAGAGGGAAATAGAAAGCACATAAACTGGGGTTAAGTAGCAAATACTTGTAAAGTGTGGGGATGTTGCTATTTGTGAGAGCAGGGAAGGTGTCTGAAAAGTGTCTTTGTGCTTCAGGAATACTTACAGCATCCTCCACCAGGCTGTTCTGCCAGTCCTTGGTAGAGCTGAGCACACTGAGGGTGTAAATCAGCATAACTTCCTTGGCTCCAGCCCCACCTGACACCAGCTGAGGATATGGCTTGGAGGTTTGCAAGTTCAGGTTTTGTGATTGTATTTAGATGAGGTGTCTCCCAGCTGCCTGTGGCTGCAGGTGACTTTGTATTTTAGTTCAGATGTCGCACTGATTTTCCTGCTGAGGCAGAGCCTCTCTGCCCCATCATGAAAGTTATTTAGCCGGTGCACATATTACTCTGATTAGAGAGGCTGGCAGAGGCATGAGCTTTTTAATGATGGAGTGTGGAAAGGGGACAGGAACAGAATCTACCAATGGAAAAAATTACATGTACCGAATTAGATCAGAAACACTGCAGAAGGTATACCGCAAGAAATGCTTTTTTCGGTATAGCACAGCAACTCTGATATTTCTGTTTTCATTTATTGGAAATGTTGAACTGGAGTGCTTTCCTATGTTTGGTGGAGAAGAGTGTGTAGAAAGAGGCAAGTTTCTTTCTTGGTCAATCAGCGCCTTACTCTGAGGTTTCTCACCTGCTGGGAACACATGACTGTACATGTGCTTGATGGTGGCTGTGGTACCTAGAAAGAAGTAGTTGAGGAATGCTTTTCCCTCAGGCATTCCCTTAGCTCTTGCTTGACACAAAGACTTGTGGTTTTGACACATACTGAAAAAAAGTTTAAAAGGTCAACACCATGGAGCGCCCCAACATGGCACACCTGAGCTTCAGGAGGCTGAGATTACATTCTGACCTTACACAGATGTCTCCCGATGACTTTCCTCCTTCAAATTTAAGGTAACATGGAAAGAAGGAAAAAGGCAAGAGAAGGCAGAGGTTGTAGGGTGAAGTGAGGAAGAGGGGTGTGGGATGCTTGGCTATTCACAGCCTGAGAACTGGAGACAGGCCAGCCATGCTGGGATGAGGCAGGTGATCAATGGTCTTGCTGCTGTGACATCGGCTGCCCTCTGTGGGGACATGTCCATCCTCCTCATCCCTGGCCATTCTGGGACCTTCTGGCACCTTCGTGGGTTCCCCCAGCACCCAGCTGTGGTGGGAGCTGACCCAAACCCCATAGTGGACAGCAGAAAAGGGATGAGTGAACCAATTCCTCAGCCTCACCACATCTCGCTGAGGTGCACAAGGGCTGCTTTCCTGCTGCAGACTGAACTCACATCACTAAGGCTAGCCAATATTCCTAGCATTAGTTTGAAAACATCTGGGGTACTTCAAACTAGGGACCAAGGCTTGCTCCCCTCCTGCGAAGAGTGGGGAAACCACACAAGCCTGGCACCTAAATACAAAGCACAAAAGCATGGTTTGGGTAAGGAAGACCTTCAGGAAATAGTCAGTGAGAATAAGACAGCAATGATTTCTGTTAAAAATGGAGTGAAGTAATAGGCTTACATTTGATAACACTGAAATCAGCAAAGCCCTCTTATCTTCAGAGGATGTTAGTTCACTTTTGTAAAGTATATTCAGTGGCATTATGAGAAAAAACAAAATCAACGATAAGGAAAATATACCCCAATTCCCTAAAATCCTGCCCTAGTTCTCTCCCTACAGCTTTAAAATGGTGCAAAGGAGGAGTCAGCTTTATTTACATAGAACACTCCCAGCTGAGTTCTCCAGCTGACCATTATGAGCAGCTACAGTATTTAGCAGGTGACGGTCACCACCCAGCTCTCTGCAGTGAGGATGAACAATAATAGGTTTACTTATGCAAAGAAAACCTAGGTTCACCTTAGAGGAAATAAATGAATTACATGTATTAGTTCTGTTGTAACAAGTTGCCTCATGAGAAATTGGTTTTCTGTGCAAAGGAAACAAAATTTTCTCTGTATTTTGCTGTATATTAAGAAAAGGATATAATTCTAAAACATGTGTCAGGGGAATGCACACTGCTCTGCCAAATGGAATCATGATAAACGGGTGCATTAAAAGTACTGGATAAATTTGCTATTGACTAATAAAACTTAAAACAATTTATAATCTGAACTAGCAACTTTGCACCGGATTTTTCTGTTGAGAACGAAGGAACTGACAAAAGGAAGGGTGATGTGCAGTGAAGGGGGGGAGGGTAAAATTTACTAATTAAAGATCTAAACTTCTGATATTCTTATTTTTTAATAAAGCCTTATAAAGATGATGAAACTGTAAGTCGTTTGTTAAGATTGACTGCTCCCCTTAGGAGCTAGTATAAATTTGGCCCAAATACAGAATTGCCCAGAGGGAGCCTGGATGTGTAATTATGTTCTGCTGAAGGATGAATAATTCCTCATGAACTGAACAGTTTGCTGTTGCCCTGCAGTTTATCCTGACCCTAAGACCCCATCTTTAAAGGTGATTCTCACTGTACAGCAGAAATGGTGCTATAAATGCCAGCCTTTTGCTCTCTGCCTGTTTGAGTTTGTTGCTCTGTTCAGTTTGGGTGTGTGATGCAAAGGGTTTTTTTTCTGTCCCAGGTCAGCAGCGGGACCAGGAATACACCTCTGGTTTCCTGCTCCTCTTACCTAGCATGTGTGCGGATATTGGCGTTCTTGGCATTGGCAATGTCAGACCAACAAAAGCTGTCACAGGGGCCAGCTGTTGCTCTTTTTGCTTCCAATGGTTATATATGTGGGGCTCCCAGAAGTATTGCCTGGCAGGTGTGACTGAAATTGAGCATTTAAGGTTATGCCCTAAATTGCTCTTGGTGCTTTGGTTACCATACTCCTCACAGAGGGTCTGCTCCTGCCTGCATCATAGCACACATGGGCCCTTGGTGACCAAGGCAGGAGGGAATGGGGCTGCACTTGGTGCAGGGCAGGGAACAGCCCAAGGTCTCACTTGATGTGCAGGCATCACTTGCTTTCCTGCCACCACGCTGCAGCTCCTGGGTCCCCGCTCAGGAGACGGGCAGCTGGCTAAAGCCACCTGCAGCCCTACCCCAAAGGCATACAAGCATTGACACACTTTTCTCCACATCTGGAACTGGTGCTGCACATAAAGTGATGCCTGGTTCTGCACACCAGCTCCCACCTTGACCCAGGGTGCTGGGGAGCAGCAGCAGTTCAGCTGCTGGTACCTGTGCAAGCCTTGCATTCCCAGGGAGAGCTGTAAAGGGTTAACCCTGCAGCACGTGCAGTGATAGGTGATTCCTCATGACATCCTCCATGATCTCAAGCAGCACAAGTAATTTGTAAGAACTCAGCTATATTTCTCCTTGATGCACTCCTTGGGACATGACCATCATGTGTGTGCGTGCCTTTTCCTGAGGGACTGAACTTCAAGAGATGCTCTACCCCTCTGTTGTGTTAAATACCTTTTCCTGATGCTCATCTCCATCCTTCCATGCTTCTGCTTGTGTGTCGATGGTGTGAAGGGGGTACCATAAAGTGTAGTGTGTTTTACTCGGTGGGAAGTGCAGAGAGGGTATGAGATGCATTCTACTTTCACCCTATCTTCCTGCAGGTGTCATGCACCTGAGGCTTCCATACAGAAGCTGTCAGTGCTTTTCCTTTCAAAACTGTTTTAGATTTAATGGCAGGTGAGAACACTCTGTCCCCACACTTCAAGCCTCGCAGGGCAGACGCCTGAGAACCAGGTTCCCTGCAGCCAACAGGGCTACCAGCAGGCTGCAATGAGCATTTCGAAGGAAGCCTCACCTCCATCCCTGGGAAAGTGATGGAACACCTTATCCTTGGTACCATCTTAAGGCATATCAAGGATAAGAGGGTTATGAGGGGCAGTCAACATGGCTTCACCAGGGGGAAATCATGTTTGACCAGTCTCTTAGCCTTTTATGAGGAAATAACACGGTGGATGGATGATGGCAGAGCGGTGGATGTGGTCTACCTTGACCTCAGCAAAGCATTTGACACAGTCTCCCACAGCATCCTCACGGCTAAAATGAGGAAGTGTGGACTGGATGATCAGGTAGTGAGGTGGACTGTGAACTGGCTGAAGGAGAGAAGCCAGAGAGTTGTAGTCTATGGGGCTGAGTCTAGTTGGAGGCCTGTAACTAGTGGAGTGCCTCAAGGGTCAGTACTGGGACCGGTATTATTTAATATATTCATCAACGATTTAGATGAGGGAATTGAGTGTACTATCAGCAAGTTTGCTGATGACACTAAGCTGGGAGGAGTGGCTGACACGCCAGAAGGCTGTGCTGCCATCCAGCGAGACCTGGACAGGCTGGAGAGTTGGGCAGGGAGTAACTTGATGAAATATAACAAGGGAAAGTGTAGAGTCCTGCATCTGGGCAGGAACAACCCCAGGTTCCAGTATAGGTTGGGGAACGACCTGTTAGAGAGCAGTGTAGGGGAGAGGGACCTGGGGGTCCTAGTGGATGACAGGATGACCATGAGCCAACACTGTGCCCTTGTGGCTAAGAAGGCCAATGGCATCCTGGGGTGTATTAGAAGGGGGGTGGTTAGTAGGTCGAGAGAGGTCCTCCTTCCCCTCTACTCTGCCCTGGTGAGACCGCATCTGGAGTATTGTGTCCAGTTCTGGGCCCCTCAGTTCAAGAAGGACAGG